TTTAAACCAATTTTTCATTTTTTTTTACAAACATCAAAAACATCGAGTAATAATTTAAGTTCCAATGTAAACAATATTGTCACAACCGATTACATAACAAAGATCACAAAATAGTTTTCCCCGAGTGTGTGTACGATCACGCCAGCACCTTCCCACGGTCCTCGCTAGTACCTGGAACACATAACACAACAACTGTAAGCATAAATGCTTAGTGAGTTCCCCGAAATACAACCTACGCACATACGCCTTTCCAGGCCCTGACCTTCCGGTCCATGTGTCTCAGGGGACTTCCGTCCCGACTGGGTGAACCTTCCGGTCCTACCCACGTCAACCTTACGGTCCATTTTACAACGCCTTCCGGCCCATAACATATTCGCCTTCCGGCCCATAATATAATGCCTTCTGGCCCATATCAAGCATATCATACATGGCACATATAACGAATAAATTATCACACATAACACATATATCTCATAGCATATCCGACCTTCCGGTCACACAGTCAAACCCTTCCGGGTACAGTATAGTGAGAAGACTCACCTCGTATATCTCGATAGCTCGCGAACCTTGGAAATCACTCGTACGCGAACCCCCGAGCTATAGTCCTCCTATAACATCATATATCTATAATTAATACTTGTGCCACTAAGGTTGACCATCCCTATCAAGTCGACACTGGTCAACTCTGGTCAACAGTCAATGGTCAATTTGACTGGACTCGGCGAGTGCACTAGAGCGACTCGGCGAGTCTACGCATTTTCACCATCTCGCAAGGATTTCCCCTTGATACATCGAGTGCTTCCCTAACTCGACGAGTTCCACCTGGTCATGAATCACGGGGCCACCGCGACTCAACTCGCTGGGTCACAAGGACAACTCGGCGAGTCTCAACTCGACTCGTTCCACCTGTCAATCCCTCTCTAACTCTCTGTGACTCACTGAGTCACCCATAACTCGGCAGGACTACTCACTGGGTGGTTTTAAGGACAATCTTCAAGCTACTCGTCGAGTGTGTTCTTCAGACTCGGCGAGTCCATGCCATGCATCAGCTAAAACTTGCTTCTACAGTTAGATCCGTTCCATACACACATAGATCTGGCCTTCCCAAGCTCATTTATCATGTAAAGTCTCAGTCTTGGCCGCCATGCAACACTTACAAGGCTCTTTTTGGGGAAATAACCTCTAATATGGCAACCCTAGTCTCCAACTCAAAAGAACGGACATAAAGCATATCATTTGGGGCCTTCTGGACCTGCTAAGGTCCAGATCTAGGTTCCGTATCTCAATGGGACCTTTCACACTTCAAATACAAGTCAAATAAGGCAAGAAGAAACCCTAGATTTGACATATCAGCCAAAACACGAAGATTAGCCCTGAAAGTTACCTCAAGAAGCTTCCCTTGATGAAATAGAAGCAGATCCAAGCTCCCCAACTCTTCTAGCTTGATCTTCTCCTTCCTTTCTTGCAACAACACACAAATTGGTGAACAAATAGCCTCTTATCTCACTCACAAGGACTCTCAGCTTCTTTGGTGCACTCAAGGCTCAAGGTGGCCGAAATGAAGGGCCATAAGGTCCTTTAAATAGGGCTTAGGACCAAAAAATTAGGGTTTCATTAAACAGCGCGGACTCGCCGAGTCCATCCCTTGGACTCACCGAGTCCAGACGCAAACCTTCGTCCAAAACCGCAACCCGACTCGGCGAGTTCAACCTCCAACTCGCCGAGTCCCTTCACAAAATACCAAAAATATGAAATTAAAGATACCTGGAAATCCGGGCTGTTACAACATATGTCTTCAAATGTAATTAGGATCATTGCGTGTGTCTAAAGTCTTCACTTGACACCAAGCACTTGTCCGATCCTTCCTTACGACACGGTCCGTTCAATTCCAATCAATTACTACAGGTGAGTTCATACCCCTTAATCAATGTTTTAACTGTTTTTAAATGTTTTAGGGAGGGGGGATACAAGTAGAATTATGCTAGTTACTATATCAATCACATGTGATTAGTAAGCAGCATTCAAATGATTGGCTACTCATTAGCCATTTTACCAAACAGTTTCCTTCAAATGATTTTCATAAACATTTTATATGATTAAAACTCCTTGTTAAGTTGTACACTTTACTTTGTACGCTTCATTTCAAACTCATTTACAGTTGTTTTACATACATTTTCAATACTTACAATTCTTATACATACAAATTCTTACATACAAATTAAGACACTAAAATACTTATGATCTCACCAGCTTCAACGCTCATACTCGCTTTCCAAATTACTTGTATCCTCAGGTTATCCATAGACAGGTACCGATGCAAGGTTTAGAGAAGATGGTGCTCGTTCAAGACTCATCTTTCATTTTGATTTATACTGTAGTGTCTATTATAATTTGACAGAACACACTTATATTAAAATTATATTATTAATGCAATGGATGATGTTGTTGCTTGTTTACTACTTTTCATTGTTGTGATACTGTACATGACGTCCTCCGCCCTAGAACGTTTCCGCCGTTCTTGGTTTTGGGGTGTGACACTAAATCACCAAAATGCTTAAGAATCACTCAAATGGAGGCTTATGGTCGATTTCTAGGGTTTAGAGGGATGGAGACTAAAGATATTAGAGTTAGGTTATGAGATAAGGAGCTTAAATAGGGTCCAAGACCTTAAAATCGGGTTCATGTCTGATCAACGTACATATGGTATACCCAGCGTACTCCGAAGAACATTCGCGACCACCCCTAGTCAATACGCCCAACGTACTCCAAAGTATGCCCAACGTACTTCCTTCTTCACTAGTACGCCCAACCTACGCTTTGTGTACACCCAACGTAATTGGCTAAGCCTAAAACCCCAAAACTTCTGAAGGTCATAACTTCTTCGTTATAAATCCGTTTCCGATGATCCTTATATCCACGAAAAGGTAACGAGAAACCCTACACTTCTATCAAACTTATTCCTCCTGAAGCCCACTCGAACTCAGATCCAAGATTCATGAAAAGCCCGAACCAACACCTTTAGCAATACATTTGGGCTCAAAAGCACAAACCAAACTCTTTTATCACACAACCTACCTTACCCACATCACAAAAGGGCCTAAGCCTTTCTCTTTAAAAGCCTCAAAACCTTCTCATACTCGGATTAAGGTCCACGGGCCTTAAATCATAAAACTATCCAGAACAGGATGTTACAATATCTCATAGTAGCTGAGTGTGGGTGGGGCCCGTATCTTATAGTAGTTGAATGTGGGCATGGCCCGTATCTCATTGAGTGTGGGCGGGGCCCGTATCTCCTAGTAGCATGATTATTTGTATGGTATATGGTAGTTTTGGGCGACCCACTAAGCTTTGTGCTTACAGTTTTCAGTTTTGGTTTTAGGTACTTTCAGTAGCAAAGGAAAGAGCTCGGGATTTGTTCAGCTTGGGATGTTTATACTTTGATATATTTGACAAATGTTATGATATTGTTTGAGATACACGACTTATGATTTTTATATGATGAATGATATTTATGGTTTTATTAATGACTTAAAATGGAAATTTTAGACTGTATTTTTGAGATGTTACAATATATATATATAATATATATATATATATATATATATATATATATATATACACACACACACATGAGGGTGGTGGTGTGTGTGTGTGTGTGGGGGGGGGGGTCCTTTATATGTATTTTAATATTTTCTCATGTTTTCTAGGGTGCTAGTGATCCTAAATGGATATAAATTTTTCTTTTCAAAAATTTGTGTGCTTATATGATCATTTTACTATTAATGTTGACGAATTCAATATGCCACCACACTACGTGCGTTGTTTTATTGTAACTAAATACGTCAATGACATAAAGCATGTTGATAACGACTTTAAGATTGCTCCACGATTAATAACAACACAATTGTTCTAACAAATGATGAAGATGATTATATAGTCGAAGATGAATATGAATCTTTATCTAAGATTTCTGATTATGAATGAGAGCTATCAGACCAAGCGTTAGAGGGATCATATATTGATTTGATACCATCAAAAATGTCAACAATGGTAATTATAATTTTTTATTTTGCTAATTTATGTCAAACTTAAACTTTATGTGTATTACAATTGGTTTTTGTAATATACATATCGTGTTTGTCATACTAAAGAAATGATGGTCTTCAAACATGTATATCTACTATCAATGATGTAGAGGATGAACGATGTAAGAATATATAGGTTAATTATTATTATTATTTTTATAAAGTTTGCTTATGGTTTTTTAGTATGTTTCTTATTATTGTGATTGATATTTCAATTAAGTTGGACATGGTAATATTCACGATTATATTTGTAACACGCTTACCTCTATCTGGTACTTTAGAAGATGTTAAAGACATTCAAGTAAGTTACAACATATTGTTTATATTTTCTATTTTGCTTACGATATGGTAATATTTTTACTTTCCCTGTTAGTGTCAACTTATGTTTATTTTTCATGATTGTTGCTGTTGTGTTTGTATTCTTACAATTAGGCGGCTTCTGTTGTTGTAGAAGTTGATTTTCAGAAAAATTGTGGCTCGAATCCTCAATAGTACGAACAAAACGTCGATTTTCATGAGTGTGAGGAGTGTATTGATGATGATATTCCTACTCAACTTTAAATATACTAATCATTACGTATCACTTTTCGTTTTTAACTTAATTTTATTTTGTTTCATTGGTTGTTACTCGATTGCTATGGTTTTTATTTTATAGTCTTTTTATGTTTTTTTCATTAATATGTTGTTTATTTATGTAGATTATTCATTCTACAATGCATTCTAACAATTTATATTAAAACAATTAATTTTTTTATTACACTAGTCAACCTTCCATCGAACGGATCTAAGACCGACTAATATACGTTTTGATATCAATTATAGATATTTATTCACGTAAGTGAAGTGTGAGTGAAGGAATATTCTATATATATATTCTGAGAGAGAGAGAGAGAGAGAGAGAGATCAAATAATCAAATGTATTATTTAAAAGCTGAAACAGATCCACATACATACAACCACACATGGGACCCGATGTGGCGGGTGTCAGCGCATATGTGGATGGTGTTGGACGGCATGGTGACTCTTGTCTCTGAAGATCATGACCCACATGGATCCCTCCGCAAATTTGCTCGATTTGCTTCACCAATTCTTCATCATTTTCCTTTTAGAGATAAACAACGACATCAAACGCTGCATCTTCGATTATCTTCTTACCTAACAAATCATACTTCCCAACCTTCGTCTCTTGTCTACCATCAATCCATCATTCAAACTTTTTTCTACTGCTCTGCTCCATCTCAATTCCTCTGAATCCAGGGTATACTCTGATCCATTTCTCCCTCTTTCAGTTTATCTACGCATGTATTTGTTGTTTGCTTACCATATGAACTGGAATTTTAATTTAGTTGCTTTTAGGTAACTGTTCTTTACTCGCATAAGCTGGGGCACTGGATCTACTCATTTTCATTAGTTTTTGGTTCAAATTGAAAGTCGAGACCATGAACTAATAATAGAGGGATTTATCATTTATGATATATATATTTCTTGCATTTAGTCCGTCTTTTAATTAATCACGAATTGCGTTTTAACTCTTAAATTACGCCAACTTTTGTTTAAAATTTTTAACTTCTGCAATATCGAAGGATAGAGAATATTGAGTACAAATCATGAATGTGACTTGGCATGGTTTATAGCAGGTTTTATAAGTGATTTACCAGTTTCTTGCATGTGTGAGTATTATATGAAATCCTGATGCAAGAATAATGTTTTGTTTTCAGATAAGAAAGAATGAATCCTCCCAAAATCAAGCGTAGAGTGGGTAAATATGAAGTGGGAAGAACAATTGGCGAGGGAACTTTTGCAAAAGTGAAGTTTGCTAGGAATTCTGAGACTGGGGACCCTGTAGCTATCAAGATCCTTGACAAAGAAAAAGTTGTTAAGCACAAAATGGCTGAACAGGTTACTTCATTTCCTTAACATTTTCTATTTTTAAGTCAAAAAGAAAGACACATAAAAATATTAATACTTATAAATCAAATTTCATTCTTTTACTTCCTTTCTTATGTATTATCTTGGTGATGCAGATAAAAATGGAAATAGCTACTATGAAGTTGATAAAGCATCCAAATGTTGTCCGCTTATACGAGGTCTCTCTCTCTCTCTCTCTCTCTCTCTCTCTCTCTCACACACACACACACACAGAGAGATTAAGGCTTAACAGTTTTTTGTTCCTTCAGGTTATGGGGAGCAAGACCAAGATATTTATCGTATTGGAGTTTGTCACAGGAGGGGAGCTTTTTGATAAAATTGTAATTCACTAATCTTTATAAACGTATCTTTTTTTTTTCCAGATTATTCGACATTGTTCATGTTCAAACTGCATCCCCAAATTTATGGGGGTAGAAAGAATATATCATAATGTTAAAGTTTAATTATGAAGGTGAACCATGGAAGGATGCATGAAGATGAAGCCAGAAAATATTTTCAACAGCTCATCAATGCTGTTGACTATTGCCATAGTAGGGGTGTTTATCATAGAGATCTAAAGGTGGTGAAACTTTAGTTGCATCTTTTATAAAATTCCATTTCAGCTTCTAGTGTTACTAACACTAGTGCATATTGATTGATATCCTTTTGTATTTATATCCTGCAGCCTGAAAATTTGCTTCTAGATGCTTCCGGAAACCTGAAAGTTTCGGATTTTGGATTGAGTGCCCTTTCTCGACAAGTTCGGGTAAATATGAGAGATTGTTGATAGGAAGCATTTGAATTTATAATCCATGTAATGTTTGTCCTAAAATTTTGAAGGTTTATTTTACAGGATGATGGTTTACTTCACACAACATGTGGAACTCCAAATTATGTGGCACCTGAGGTGTTAATTTTACAATTTACAATTTACACCCTGTTTCTTTCCCTTAAGCTTGTGCATTACTGATATATTATCCTTTATTTTTAGGTGTTGAATGATAGAGGGTATGATGGGGCGACTGCAGATTTATGGTCGTGTGGAGTCATACTCTTTGTCTTGCTTGCAGGTTACTTGCCATTTGATGATTCTAATCTTATGAACCTATATAAAAAAGTGAGCATTATATATATTCATATTAAAATAGCATGATGTCCTTTCTGTGATCATATTGTAATTAATTAGTTTGTGTGTATGTGTGTGTGTGTGTGTGTGTGTTTCTAGATTGGGGCTGCAGAGTTCACTTGTCCTCCATGGGTCTCCTTTAGTGCCATAAAGTTGATCACTCGCATATTGGATCCCAACCCCATGACTGTATGAGTTTCTATTTATTTTGTATTAACAATAATATATTACTAGTTTTCATATTTAATTATTAACCAAGTCACAAGTCACAACAAATTTTTATTTTCTTTGGCAGCGAATAACAGTGCCTGAGGTTTTAAATGATGAGTGGTTTAAAAAAGGTTATAAACAACCTGAATTCATAGAGAAAGAAGAGACAAACTTTGATGATGTGGAAGCTGCTTTTCAAGATTCTGAAGTCGGTTTATTTTTCAACATGTAGTTATTACATTAATTGAGTGAGTTTGTGTGGGAGTTGATATATTTTGTTTTTACAACAGGAGTATCATGTAACAGAAAAGAAAGAAGAATCTCCAGCTGCCATGAATGCTTTTGAGTTGATTTCTATGTCTAAAGGGCTCAACCTCGGGAACCTTTTTGACACGGATCAGGTTAATACTTGATTTTTTTTTTTGTAGGATTTTAATTATTTATATTTCTGAATATATCTTTTATTGTATCACTGAACTTACTAGGGTTGTTTTTTGGGCAGGGATTCAAAAGGGAGACAAGATTCACATCAAGATGCCCTGCAAATGAGATTATTAGTAAAATTGAAGAAGCTGCAAGACCTCTTGGTTTTGATGTGCACAAGAAAAACTATAAGGTCAAAAGAAACAAGTTTCTTTTTGAATCTAATTAAGCTATATATATCCTTTTACAAATTCACTCTCAAAATAATTTATCAAATGACACTTAATCCTGAAAGTTAGGTTTTTTTTTTTTATTCTTACCTCAGTTAAGGCTTGAAAACATCAAAGCTGGGAGAAAGGGAAACCTTAATGTTGCTACAGAGGTATCATGATTGTCATGATATATGTGTAATCAAGTAATTATGAATGATTTTGACAAAATATTTGTTAATTTTTTACTAGGTATTTCAAGTAGCACCATCACTTCACATGGTTGAGGTTCGAAAAGCCAAAGGAGACACTTTGGAATTTCATAAGGTATGCTTTCTTTTCTAGACTGAAAATGACCATTTTATCCATACATTCTAAAGAGAATTTCACACTATTCATTAATTTTGGAAATGTTCAACAATTTTAACTTGAGTTGAATCCTGTTTGGAGGAAAAAAGAAGGGCAAATTGGTAAAAGGGTTAACTCATAATGCCCATCAAGTAAAAATGAAAGGTATATAGTGTGTTCAAGGAAAAAAATCTTTTGCTCATGTTTTGTTTATTTTTGTTGCAGTTTTACAAAAGACTTTCAAGTAGCCTGGATGATGTTGTTTGGAAAACAGAAGAGGATATGCAAGAAGCCAAGTAAAAAATTTGGGCATTTTATTCTCCTTGTTATGTTGTGTCATTAGCTTGTATTATTGCACAAGTTTTGCGTGTAGATAGACATGTTGCCAATTGTTTGTTTGATAAATAGTTAAAAATACAAGTTGTAAAATCTCTATTTTTAATTCTTTTTTTCCCCTTTAAGAAGTTGAAAATCAACATTACACCTTCAGAGTATCTCATTATTCCAGAGTTGATTTTTTTTAGGTCAAATGAACATAAATTGGACTACATTGAGCATTGTCATGTTTACTTCTTCCTTCTGTTGGGAGTGGACTTAGGTCATGTTTTTATTCCATTAAAGTGTTAGTTTTATAAATGGTGTTTATTAAATATTTGAAAAAATGATTTGACATGTTTGAGAAATATCAAGGAAGAACAAAAGACCCCAATTTTTCTAATTTTCTCCATCAAGTTTCTTTCTACCTTAAGTCACAAAACATTCACATTCACATATAGCTTATCAGATTAAATGATTGTTTCTTTTTATTACCAAACGCACCATCTAAATATAGGAGCTTGAATATGAGTAAACAACAATGCCACCTATCAAGACTTAACTGTATTTATGAAGTCAAAAAAGTAAAAAGGCAAGTATTTCTCAGCTCAATTATCAACATCTTCCTTCTTTTGGTGGATTTTTGTATTCTCTATTTTGAGATTGAAAAAATCAAGGAAAGATTTATGACATCTCAAAAATGCTTATCGTAACACCAAGAAGAAAAACTATTTACATGTATGTATGTATGTATGGTATAGTCACAAGTGAATCTACAATGTAGAACAAATCCAACTCCTAGCTATATACAACTAAAGAATGTCAGTAACTCCCAAAAGTCAATTCACTTCCATCCACATTAATAGCTGCCCCTCATTTGATGCATCATTTGTAGCAAACTGCAAAACAGCAAAACATATCCCAACTTCAATCAAACAATAATAAAATCTAATACATTACATATATATATTTACCACATGAGTAAAAAGTAAAAACCTCGAACCCCGCTTTTTTGTAGAGTTCTTGGGCAGGTTTGTTGCCTGTGGTTACATGAACAAATAGTTTCTTCATACCTATAATGAAATTGATTCAATGGAAGTTAATAACAAAATAAAAGATGATGTACGAATTTTATTAAAAAAAAAGTGACCTAGAGATGTTGCCATATGAATGGCCAGGTGTAACATATTTAATGCAATTCCACGACGCCTTGCGTATAATGCCACAACAACATTTGAAATGTAGGCATACTTGTGTGCATCATCTGGTTGTTTACATGCTAACACACCCACTGATTGCTTCTTTACCTCCTGTAATAAAACATAACATCAATTTTTCACTTCCTTTTTAACAAATTAATGACAATACTGTAATTTACTATGAGATGGATGGATTAATATACCCCAGGATATGTCTCTCCTTGTAAATATTGTCGGATGCTCAAGTCCATTGTTCCAACAATACTGTTCAACACAGTTCTTTTCACATTTTTCACTTCCTTTTTAACCTGAAATGTCAAAAGTCTACATGATTTCTACTAGATATATCATATCATATATGTATAATGTGTATAGATTTTCTTTAACAAGACTTACAGCAACAAGACAGAAGCACTGCAACAAGTTCCCATCCTGTCCAGAACATCTTTTCTTCAAAGCTTTGTACTCCTGCACAAAGAGAAAGAAACGAATTAATGATTTAAACAAAAGAAGTATCTCATATGTAACTTTAAAGACCAAATAATTTATAAGGCATTTGGACTTGAATTAAATTAACTCGATTGGTCAGTTTTGATTATGAAACTTATGCACTTTGTATTCTTCATAATCGATCATTACTTGCTATGCTATCAAAGAATCATTGTCTGAGGTTGTTACCTGATCAGAATACTTCATTTTAAAATTTTGAGCGTGTCTGAAGCTGCAAATTGGACATGTTAAGATCTATTACCTAAGCATTTAGAAAGGTAGGAAAAGAAAAAAAGATAAAATGCTAATTTTCCAAGAAATTACTGACTTCTTGTTGGATGAGGCTTCCCATTGAGCTTCTGCACGCAGCCATGCTGCCATCTGATACGTGAAAAAAGCAGTTTCAGAAAATTAAGTCATATGAAGAGAGGATGTGATGTAATGACTATAAGAAAAGGAAAACGAACCCAATATTCTTCATTCAATACTGCTTCACGAGCAATGTAATGACCAAAGCTACGCTTTTGCATGCCAAGATATTCCTCATCACTGAGTTGAAGTCGGGTGAAAATCAACTCAGGAACCTTTGAGTCATCATTACTGGAAACAGCTGGGTGTCTAATGCTTTGAGTATTATCCCAATGGCTCTCAAGGGTTCTACAACGGGTGTATGAAATTGGGAAATTCTCCCTGAAAGAGAAAACGATGGATCAGATATAGGTTATAAACAGAAAGAATCTTGGTAGATCATGGATTTAGAAATAAGAAACAGAAGAATTGGTTAGGTTATTCATACGGTGTCCTTTAGTTACACCAAAAATCGAACAGGGTTCTCTTTGTATTACTTTGGAAGATCGATTTGATAGATAGGAGTATAGGACGACTAACATTTATTGCTATATACTTCATTTGATCAATTTCAGTTATTCCGGATCTTAAAAATCATTGGAAAATGATGTTGCATTACGAAACAACACTATTTATGTAAGGATAACTCGACTTTCTGTGATTAAATTGATATCAGTCGATTAATATTCTAAAATGAGGCGAAATCAAAGAGTCAAGAAAAGAAATGAATATGCAAAGAAAAAAACATCCCAAATTAAGATCGAGAATGGAAGCACAAATACCTAAACAGGTTTACCACAAGAAGAGAATCTTGTTTCTTAGTGCGCTTGGAGAAGATCAAAATTGGTTGTCGAGCTTTGAACTGAGGGATCAAGCTCCCATGTAATAGCTCCATTTTCATTCCAATCATGAACGGTTACAGAAAATTTCTTGTTTAACCAACTGTAAGAACGAGAAGTCACGCCGATGCATGCTCTAAGATCACGGAAGAACTAGTAATTGGTTTGGGAACAACCGACTTGATTTATAACAGAAAAATCAACCAGTAACTGAAAGAATCGAAGCGGCAACTACCGTGATCACGAAAGAGGGAGGGTTTGAAAGCGAGGATGGATTATACAATAACAAAAACGCAAAGCTTTCTAATTTCTAAATAAAAAATGGATAAATTACACGAATCGTTCTTGTTGCTAAAAAAACATATTTTTTTAAAAAATTAATTCGTCTCTCTATTTCATCCTTAGCATTTTTATTACAATTTAGTCAACAACTAATTTTTCAATGTTTTTTTTTTTTTTTTGTATGGTGGATTAGTGGTTAGCAGTTAGGGGTTGTTTAAAGGGGGGTCGAATCCAAAAAATTCAATTTAGCATGTTTGATATTATGTTTAAACTTCTGGATTCAGTCCATCAAAAGTGAAGGATTCGGTCCCCTCTTCCCTAAAGTAAGATTCGGTCCAAGGTATGAACAAAACCCCATTTTCCTGTTTTTCACACACACGCTCCCCACAAAAACGATAGAAGCTGATCCCCTCCCCTGCTTGGCGCGTCAATGAGTTTTTTTTTCTCGAAAATGATGCTTATGTTCTACAATTGCTTCATTGAATGCCTCCACAAGAAGAACATCCATTAACGACTGTTGCTATCAAGTTCGACTGTTGCTTCCAATTCTAATATGTTGATCGACGGTCAGGGGCGATTCAATCAGTTTGGAAGCTCTAAGCTAACCAAAATTTTGAGGCCCTTTGGCATTTATTCGGGCTTCGGATGGCAATAATAAATTAAAAGTTTATAAATAGTTGAGATGAAGCCCCTGATTCATATTTTCTTTTACACATGATTATTTGTGCAACCTGAAAATTTTTTACTTTTAAAGCCCAGTTAATCAACTCAACTGAGTGTCAAACTCATTAGTACTGAGTTCTAGCCCGGTTAAAGGTCATTCTAAGGAGTTTTGAGCCTAATACACTTAAGGAATAAGTGTTAGAAAGTACCTGCTAGACCCACAGTGTCACAACTAGGAATTTGGTGCCTTGTAAACATTGAACAACGATAAAAAATGTGAACCAACAATGTGAAAGCATATATGATGCTTATTCAATAACAACAAACTTCCATCAAACACCTTATAAGAGCACATCAAATGGTCAACCAAAGTTTGGAAGCCCTAAAAATCCTGGTTTAAGTCCATTATGGACTAGGATTTCCTTATTGGGCCTAATGGGCCAATAAGCTTCCAATTTGACTATATTGGGCTTAGAACTCTTAAATGGGCTCTAATTGGACCCACCTTCATTTATTTTAACATTTTGGGCCATATTGGGCCTAGAATGAAATAAAATACTTTAATGGGCCTTATTGGGTCACAATAAATTTAAATAAGCCCTAATGGGTCATAAAAATCATACTTTGATTTATTTGGGGCCAAAAATCATCTAAGTGAATCATAAGATGGGCCTAAGAGCAAAAAGTCCAATTTTCTTCTTTCCCCTCTCCTCTTCTCGACCCAACTACTCAAATGGAGGAGAGTTGACTTTTGCTTGCCACATCATTTTTATTTTGTGGATAAATAGGTATTACAGTTCAAACATCCAAGCCCTCTCTCATATTTCCATGCAACCTCACCTCTTCTTCCCCCTCTTTCTTTTTCCTTTGGTCGAGAGTCTCCCAAACACACACACACTTTACAACAAAACTCTCTCTAAATCACTCAAGACTCATCCCTTCTCCTTCATCCAAAATCTCAAAATTTTGTTTGTGTTCAAGAGGATTTCACAAGATAATCATCATCCTTTGGTAAGTTTTCACATTTCTAAGTTATAAAACTCCTCTCTCATGTAAGATCACTCATTCTAAACAAGTTTTTGGTGATCATACTCCTATAAAACTCCTTAAGTTCGAGATCTTCCAAGGAGGATTGCTAAGGCCAAGTTTTCTTCATTTATCCCTTATAAATAAAAAACAACAAGCAAAGGTGAGCTTCATACCCCTCTCTTTTCGGTTTTCATATGTTTTATGGGGGAGAATACAAGAAAATGTGTCGATCTATGTGTATGTGTATGCTATGTGTGATTTTATGCATATATGTATGATTTTATGTGTTTTTATGATAAACATGTAACTAAAAAGGGGTGTTAACTCGAGATCTATGACATAAGAAAGTAAACAAACATGATCTAAGTTATTTTACACCAAA